GGAGATTCCTCTCAACGGTGGGTGCATTTTTCGATCTTCACTGGACAGCAACCGCCCACCCAAGATGGACAGCCCCTAGCCAATAAGATGCTGTACTGGATACGTCCCGCTTGTCTCATTGGGTGCATGAGGCTAAAAGTTGATCTCGTAAAACGGACCAACAATCACCGCACCAGCGAACAACACAGTTATTCAAAATTTAAAGGTCTTGCGTGACAGATCTCTAAAAGCTCCCACACGGGTAAATCGCTCCCGCTCCCACTTTGGATTTACTTCCCACTGCCCTATGGGCCAAACTGTTGAGTCAAAGGCTCCGGTAAGGGTTCCCAAATAAAAACTCCTTCGTCGGTGTGGGCAACCGCGAAGTATACAGTACCCAAAAGTCATAGGTACCCATTTAGAGAAGCATCTTTCTCATTGTTGTGTCCCAAATTAAGTAGGCAAATGAGCACACAACAAATGAAGCAGCAATTTTATTATAAACATCAAATTTCCAGCCGGTACACAAACCGGGGAACAAGCAGGAACGACCAGTGTGTAGAAAAGCAGGCAGGCAGGCAGGCAGACAGAATCCGGCTCACACTTCGCAGTACATGCAAATGCCGTCAAGCCAGCACTCAAACGGTCAGCTGATCGATCAATCAATCAAGCTGTGGCCAGATTGGATATGAATATGACAAAAGAATCAGTCAATTGTATTGATTAAAATTGCTCCTCCGGTTTGTGAGATCAACAAAACCTCACGTGACTATGGATAAAGTAAGATAGGGGTACGAATAAAAATGTCCAGTCTGAAAAAGTTAATTTAATCAAAGAGTTCCTGGTAAATCGTAGCACCGCTTCAAAAGCTCACTAGGCTGATTTTTTTCTCATGAGATATACTACAAATCACTCCGTAGTAAGGTTGACAAAATCACCGGAACTGGTCAGTAAACTAATACTCACTCATAGAGACGTTAGTCAACGCAGAAATCAACTAAGAACAGCCGAGACAGTGGACTTTGTTTGACAGAACTAGTGAAAGGAATTCTGTGCTTTGTCACTCCCGGATTTCGTACTTCGTACAAAACAATGTTCGCCTTAAAAGTACACCGTGAAACTGCAAATGAACCCGTTTACTGCACAATGTGGCGCTAGGCGAAAGGACAAATAGCGTTCAATGAAAACTGATGACCTCATGTGCAAAGTACCAGGGTTGAATGCAGTCCTTGCCTCGAAACTCTGTTTGACTTGGGGGCAGAAAGGACTTTCACTCCATGTACATGCTTTCAGACAGTAGACCGGTAGTTCTTGTCCGCTTGCATGTGGTAGATAGCTGGAAATTCCTGTGGCATAATTAAATCTACGGAGCCCTATTCGGATTCGCACTAGTTGGAATAAGTCAATTTTCTCACGATCCGAATAAAATTGTTTATCATTGCACCTTGATGATTTTGTGCAAAAGCTCGTCATAAGTAAACTTGCCAATAAGTTTAACCTAGGCTTATTGTAAGAAGAATCTGTATGGGTCAAAGTAATCGGGAAGTCAAGGGGGAAATTTGTTCCATAAAGTTTCAACACAGTTATATAGTATATATATATATAGTATATATATATATAGCATACAGCATCCCGTAGCTAGGTTGTCATACGTATTTTACAAGAATAAGAATGCCCGATAAAGACAGTCTATTTGGGCTGACCTCATCCATGGTTATCCATTCTTTCAGCTGCGTTTGTAACGCCACCTACATTAGCCGGTCTGCTCGACAATTCTCTTAGCGGATTAAAGATCCTTATCCACGCTGGCTTCAACACGGTGGAAAATGTATCACAGGAAGCTCATCTAACGGACTCGGGTCACCAAGGAAAGCCTGAATCAGCCTTTAAAGTTATCTATCGAGTAAAACCTCATACATTCAGGTGGCTGCGTCACCTCACCTTGGCCACTGCGAAGCAATCGGCATCCATTTGTTCAGATTCAACCTATGTGCACAAATGAGATTAGCTCATGTCATCCAACTGCCGTGGCCCAAGATCGATCGCACGGATGACGCATCAAAAGTTGATTGTAGTGTTGTAGTGAAACACGTCGCAATACTCACCTAACACCCCTTCCCCAGTGTTCTAAATTTCGACCAACCACCGTGGCTTTTGAATGACTGAATATCTATCCCCGTTCAACATCATCATCATCATCATCATCATCATCATCATCATCATCATCATCATCATCATCATCGACATCATCATCATCATCGTCATCATCGTCATCAGCAGCAGCATCATTATTATCATCGTACAACGATATACAGTGAAGTAAGCTCCACTGATCGCTGCCAAGCTCACATTTTACACCAATCAAGTGATAAAGTACAAAATGGAGAGGGATTGGGCCTACTTGGAGGGAGGCAAAGTAAAAGAAGCTCTATGTTCAGCACACAGAGTACACAATCTAAGTGTTCATGCATACCTTTTTTCAAGCATCCTGTCTTGTTAAGAAATGACAACAAGAGCGCCACTGCTGTCGGTTGTTCGCCGTATCCTTTAATGTCTCCGGCCAACCAGTTGTAGAGTCTTTCTGACCCCAACCTGGAAGACGGGAGACACCGATTCTACCTAATCACTCTGTACATTTCTTCATGCCTCACTTCCACGTCATCTGTTGACCACCACGTGGTTTCTTCCAACCTGGAGACGTAACTGCGAA